ATCTGACTTTCATAATCGGCTTTACACTTTATGTAAAACGGGCTAGAGTTGTAAATTGTCTTTCGTTTCGCAGTTTCTTCATCCGATTTACATTTATAAAATCTATCCATGTCGACTTTAGGGTGACACTTTTCGTCTTTGCCATAATTTTCCACATCATTAAAACATTGAATCTGCTTTTGTAGCTTTTCATATTGTTGACATCTTTTTTCTGGACATTTAGTAATGAGAAAACTCCAGACATTCATAAATAATTCGTTTATTTCATCCAAATCATTAAAATTAAAGGCTTGGCAGAGAGCAATTTTGCAAATCTGTTTATTTGAAACTAATTCTACTGGAAAATATTTTTCCAAATCGTTAAACATACAAACAGTCAAAGTTTGGATTCTTCTTTTTCAATATAATCCAATTAGCAGAATGTTGAAGGTACTGTATAACCGACATTCCATTACATGCTTCTATGATACTGCCGACAAGAGCCATTGAAAAATCTGTGGTGATAGTTCTGATTACTCTGTTCAGCTTATCAATACCACAATTAACTCGCATAAATCTTATTATTCTATATAAATTATTTGATAGATTTCCTAAGTGATGATCGTTTGTAAAGAAAGTAGCTATAGGAAAGACCGTCATAGCACTATCTGATTTTACATTTTTGTATCTTGTAATTATACTGTAATAATGAACATTAGGTCCTTTAATTACTTTTTTCCACTTGGTAGATGTTGCATCTATGAAAACATCAAGTGGACCCTCACGTTTTGCAACATCTCGTGTATGTAAAATCTGACATTTTTTCATTAGTATAATGTTAAATGGCTTCCTATCTAATTTGAAAATAAATGTTTCTTTTTGATGTGCCATCTCTACAAGTGAATCCCAACACTCTTTGCCTTCCCTGAGCTCATAACGAGCCTCTGTAGCAATTTGTCTTACAGCACTGTAAGATAAGCATTTTTGTAAATTTTTGTTAATTGTATAATTTGTACTTTTGCTAAGATCTGCATCTGCCTCTCGAATAAATTGACGGGGTCTAATGTGCAGTAGTTTATCTTTTGATTTTGCTCTAGACTGACCACGCAATTGGTTAGCCAAAGGCTCTGGATGATGGAAATTATCCATATCGTGTAAAACTTTGAAAACTATCTCACCTGATCCGGTTTTTGAGAACGTGGTGGTATAAATAAACCTTTTGCAACTTGGCTGCGAACAAACTCCATATATTTTTATTGTCCGGCTTACTTTTTTTTTTGGCACATAATCATCCTTGCCTTTAAAATAAACTTCGCATGTTTGGTTTGGGCAGCGTAATACGTCATGATGACTTGCATAGTTAATCTTTTCGGACATTGTTTTGAAATTTCTTCTATTAAAATGGCTTTCATTATAATTGAAAAGTTTTTTATTTTGAGGGTTCATGTAGTCTTCTAGCTGTTTTCTGGACCAAACAAACGAAATTCCAGAGTCCCAAAACTCGGATAATTTGAAATTCATTTCCCTATTGTTTCTCGTTTCTACATCAGTGTTTGTCACCTTAGCTTCCTGACTAAATGAGGAGTCAAAATCACTGGGAACTAAATTTGGAAAAGCAGAAATAGTTGATTCTGTCTTATCGTTTGAATATGTTTCTATATCTTGTTCAACTGTTGCCATATTATCGCTAAAGTTTTGTTCAATAATTTTTTTCAATTCCTTTCGCTTTATATTTGGGTTTAATAATGGCAAAAACTTTTCCGTTCTATTTTTAATATAGTTAACCGTATGTGTAGCATTATGTAAAACGTATATCCCACAGTTGAAAGAATCAAACTGGCTATCACTTTGCAGTGTGCTCACATGCCATTCACAAGATAGAATCTTTTTCGCGATTGAATTACTTTCAGAATACTTTTTCATCGACGTTAAAAAAAGATTCAATTTACTACGAGCATGTTTTTGGTAATCAGGTAAGCTTTTTGAATCCATATAATACATTGTTTTGCTCTTTAAATCTAAAACTATTAAATAAAAATGCATATTTTCGTGGCATGGAATTAGTAAAATATCTTTGTTTAGCGAATCAAAAACGAGAGACTCGTCATACACACCACCTGGAGCTGACAAAAAAGCCTTGGACTCATAAATATTTAGCACCTTAATATTATCTGTTCGTGTAATTAAAATTTGTAGACAAACTTCCAGGCAACCACTAGTTAACATTTCTCCATGATTTAGTGAATTAATATCTTCGATCGTTAAATTTAGTGCCGGGAATTTAGAAGAGCTGAACAAAGTTACTCTTTCGTGGTTATTCAAAAATTCAATATTTTTGCACCCTACCGACATTGGATCCTTCGGACCTTTAATGGAACGTGAAGTTGAAGACCCTATGGATGTGTTTGTTGCAGTTTGTCCTGACCTAAGCAACATTGGATCTTCGACCGAAATGAAACAAGACTGAGCTGGATTCGGAATCACATAATCCGTTACTGGAAGCCCAATGTCTGAGGATAAACTAGTAACTGTCACTTTTTCCTGTGCAGTTTGACCTAATCTATCAAAAGTTTGATCCTACACCCACAAGGAGAAACAAGAAGGCTGAACTGAACGTTCAACTGGCTTTGTAGCAACAGTTTCTGATACTGGAACGCGAATGATCATGGACAGAGGGGCAGCTGAAGACACTGTTGATGTGGTTGACGGTATTTGACACGATTCGATAGGATTAGAATGCTGCTCGATGGAACAAGGAGGTTGAACAGAATGTCCCAGAATCGGAGGTACTAACACCGGACCCCAATTGTCGGAGATAGAACCAACAACCGAAGAAACTGCGGTTTGCGTTGACCGAATCGATATTGGATCCTGTCTTAAAACGGCGGAACAAGGAGGATGAATTACAGGATCCGTTACTGGAAGCCAGATGTCTGAGGATGAACTAGTAACTGATGACACTGTACATTTTTCCTGTGTCAATCTATCCACAAATTGATCCTGCACCCACGAGCAGGAAAAAGGCTGAACAGAACTTGTGTCTAGGCTCGCAGAAAAAGGTTCTGATACTGGAACTCGAATGTTCGTGAATGGACCAGCAGTCGAGGTGAAAAAATTTGGATGCTGCATACATCCAACGGAACAAGGAGTCTGAACAGAATAACCCAGAATCGCAGATACCGGAACCCGAATGTCCGAGCTTGAACCATCAACCAAAGAAACTGCGGGTTTCGTTGATCGAATCGATTTTGGATCCTGTCCTAACTTGGCGGAATAAGAAGATTGAACCAAGTGTAACGGGTTTGAAAGTACAGGTCGTGATGCTAGAATACCGATTTTTGAGGATGAAACAGCAGCTGAATACACCGCTGTTGTATTTGTTACAGTTTGACCTGACCTGACGTATATTGGTCCCAGCGTATGCGTGGAGGACAAAGGAGGCCGAGCGGAATGAGTCAAATGATTCGAGATTACAGGCTCCGATACTGGAACCTGAATGCCTGAGAAAGAACCAACAGATGAAGGACATGTCGATGCATCTGGTGCAGTCTGACTAAATTCGACGGTAGAACTCTGCATGGCAAAATGAGGCGGTTGAAAAAAGTTCATCACTGGGTATGGAATCATCGGGCCCCATACTGGAACCCAAACACCCGGAAGCGAAACGGCAGATGAGTATACTGTTGGTGTGTTTGGAGTGAGTGAGTTTGGAATAACAGGTGTTGGGGGAAAATAAGGAAGGTAGCCTGCGGGAGGGACCCATACCTGCACGGGAGAAATACATACCGGGATATACAGCGGATATGTTGCTAAATATCCTCCACTGTAAGGACTACTAAAATTCATTGTTATTACTTACGATTTGATTTAAATGTGATAATATCACTTGTAAAAATAGCACTTTATTCTTTCAAAATTGCACCACTTGATTTGCACACCGTATTAATTGTTGAATGAAAATGAATGGTTGAGCTGGAATGAAAACACAAGAATAAAAGCAGAGATGAAAGCATACAGCAGGGTAGCCAGAATCTTTTCTGAATTTTTTTAAATGTTTTATCGGTCGGTTGGTGAAAAAGAGAAAATCGATTAAGAGAATCGATCATCGCAGTTAGGCCCTTATGATTCTGAACACTAGACCTCGTTGGATATTCATATGATGTGATATTGTATTCTATAAATCTATCTGGTCAGTAATACCAAAACTTGTTTATTTTAACAAGCACAACTGAAAGCTATCGGTTGTACCAGGCTGCGTCTATAAGTGAGAGTTTTGGTTAGAGAAGCAAAAATATTGTGGCTCTCAGTAGAGCTGCAGCTTCGTAACACGCATTATTAATCAATCGTTTCTCCAACTTCGGTACGATCTTTACCTAGCTCAAGATATCTGCGGATAGCATCATGTAAGAAAACGTTGGTGTACTTCGTGTAATATATTTCTGGATTGAATTTGCGTATGACACACTAAAGGAAGTTGTACTGCGCGTCGATTTATTTGATGCGTACTGTGCGCAATCTTTAATTCCTGTTAAAAATGATACTACCAAAAATAAAAATACACATCCCGATAGGCATTTCTCGCACATAATTATTATAGTACACTTGAAAACCGAACCGACTTATCCGCGGGTGAAGCAATCGATAATGGAAATGCGTCTGGATCAAAAACTGGATCATATAGCTGTTTCGTCTTCGCTTAGGATCTGGCCACCCTGCTGTAGGCTCGATTTCATAAAAAAATCTAGTAGGAAAAAAGCTTGCAAAAGCTTTTAATGATTATCTTTTTCACAATCAGGTGGCGCTAAGTGCAGCTCGAAAAAAATTTCTTGCTCGACTTTTTTTTCCTGCTCGTTTAGCAGCAGTCTTTTTTCTTACCGTGTACACCGTGATCAGCAGAATCCATCTCTATACCATCTGACAGTTCCTTGTTTGTAAACAAACATTAAAAACAAAAATGAACAGACGTACAGAATCGCGAAGTGAGTTCGTGATTCTTGTTGGATTTTTGTGAAGAATTTGTTACTATTTTTTAGCCTATTTCGAAGTGATTTTCGTAAATGGCTGAGGAATCGAAATCAATAAGGTAAGCTTCCAATGTTTTCCGTTCAATCTGATCAATAAGTGTAGTTCTGATTTTCATCAGTCGAAAGGAATGGCGAAAGCTCGTGAAGAAGTTACGCCGCAAGCGGATTCGCCAGAAGTTGGCTGAATTTCGAGACGGAGCAGCGGCAGAATCTGTAGCCCGAAAACTGGCGGAGCCCACCTATGTGGCTTATCTTCGAGAGAAGGAACAACTCGAACAGGAAATGCTGCAACGGCAAGAAGAGCGCAGTAGGTATGAACATGCCTTGTGGCTGGACCGGGAGAGACAAGCTCAGGCGGCGTTCCAAGAAAAACGGAAACGATTGGAGGAGGAGCAACGGGAAGAGATCGAAAAGCGTGAAAAGATACGGAAGGAGTTCGCAGACCTAGAACGAAAAGTGAAGGAAGCAAAGGCGGAAAAAGAACGATTAATGGAGGAGTTCCGGAAGCAGCAGCAGGAACGGGAAAGGATGTTTGCGGAGTTTCTGGTTGGTATAGATGATCACGCTTTGACGCTTCGGGAGATTGTACATTCCAGGCCCGATCGGGATGCTTGCGTATTTTTCGGGAAGGTTGGCGCTTGTCGATACGGAGCACGATGCTCGTCTAATCATCCGACACCTGGGCTCAGTGAGGTGAAAAAACGAATATTATTTTGGTGGTTTGGCTCTTGGTTTTGATCGGTTTTTATTCATCAGCTCCTTTTAGTACCAAACTTTTTCGCGCACCCCGCATTGGATCACCAGCAGCATCCGGAATATGGCCTGGACTCAAGCATAGAATTCGATGATGACGAATTATACCGCTGTTATAGTGAGTTCTTCCTAGATATCGTCGAAGAATTTGAATCGTTTGGTGCCATCACCGGGATATTCGTTTGTCGAAACTACGAACCACATTTGAGGGGAAACGTCTACGTACAATACGCCAGCTTGAGGTTTGTCAGCCAAAAAGGTACATTACCAGTATTTACACTAAATTTTCTTTCATTACAGGGCCGCGGCAAAAGCATATCAGCGAATGAACGGTCGCTTCTACGCTTCCAAACAACTCCGGGTCGAGTTTCGGTCGCCTATTGTCTGGACTTCAGCCGTTTGTGGTAAATTGAACGAGATGTATCCTTTTTGAAACAAACGAAATTTTCCTGTTAGACATGCCATACACCATATATAGAACTACCAATAATACATTTGCCTTAACTCAGTTTGATTATCCATTCCAAATAGTCCGTGTTGAAGGATTACATGTTTGAACTCATTTACCATTCATAGGACTTTTTGAGAGGTCCCGATGTCAGAAGGGCAAATCTTGCAATTACTTGCATTTGCTGGTCAATCCCATTGCAAAGTACAGATACAACCATTTCAAGGAATTGCAGTCTGCTAGGCAATCGCAGAGGCAGTCGCAACGCTCGCAACTTTTGGAAAGGTATTCAAATTAATATAACGATTTTGACCATCATCACTAGTTTGAACATTTTGCTAGATCCTGGGACGACATCGAAGTACCAACCAAACAAAAAAACAACTGGCGTTGGTCCGAATCGCCGGATGTGGAGCTGCCATTGCGGAGTTCCAGATCGAGTTCGAGATCGGATGTATCTTATCGGCATCGAGATCGTGCGGAACGGTCCCGGAGCAGGAGCTCAAGAAGTAGAAGTTTCTCCAAGAGGAGTAGAAACCGAAGCCGAAGTAGATCAAGGAACCGATCTCGAGAGCGCCGAAAGGAGAAACGAAAAAAGCACAGTCGTAGTAGATCTTCTGACAGGAGAAAGGATAAGGTTAGGAAAAGAAGTAGATCTCACAGTAAGGAAGCACGGAAAAACGATAACGGAAAGAGAAAGGAAAGGTCCAATTCAAGAAAGTCCGCGAAATGATCGTTTATTGAATGAATAATGTTACCAAAATTCGAGTTGTATTGTGTTTGGCTTCGAACATTCTTTTCACTGGGTATCGTGCTATCTGGATCTATCTGAATATTTAATCAGTTCCATCGTCGATGTCATAAGATGTCGATACAGGGTGCCAACTAATTGAAAAACATGGCAAATCAGCGAACAGCAGGGAAAAGGACCTGAAAAATCAGGGAATTTAATTCAGGGAAATATTTCTTAATGACCGAAACTTATTAGTACAACTGACTTCGCTACCTTCAAACAACTCCAAAACTCAGTGCAGTTTGAAGATGTTTGATGTTCATTTCATGTTTTAAATAGAGCTGCAAGCTTGTGGTTGTTCAATGCTTGATGTTGGATTTTTGCAAGTTGAGCTAAAATTACTCAAATATAGGGTATTTCGATGGTTTTGAGCCTAATATAAGTTCAGCTCCTTCTGGGTGTTGGCACATTCCTAAGTTGAGATCCTGAGGGTTGAAGAAAATCCAGTTCCGTAGACGCTAGACGTTGTCAGTTGTTGCAACATTTAACCTCCAAATGGGTATGTGCGTTTCTTAATAGATGTTACACCTAATTGCGTCTGACAACAATTAACCTTCGAGTAAAATTGTGTGTCTGCTCGATCCAGGTGTGTCCAACAAAAATCGGACAATTGAGCGCATTGTAGCGCCTTTGATAAAATGCAAGAATGTTGAAGAGTTACGAGAAAAGAGTCTAAACGTTATTTAATGAAGTTTGTTGTAATTTACGAGTAAATCTACCAATTCAATATATTGTAGTTTGCGACGCCGGTGGTATAGTGGTAAGCGTGATCGCCTCTCACCCCAGCAGGTCTGGATTCAATCCCAGTCGGCGCCGCCGGGATGTTCTGAGGCTTAACATCTCTGAAACCGTTGGTCCCCCGTTCATGAGTTGATGGGTCGATAGGTAGGGTCCAGGTGTGGGAGCTGCCTCCCTGGCGTCGGTAGCCTTGGTGCTCAGAACGGAAAACAAATCAAGGAAAAAACATATTAAAGGGTTGTGTCGAAGATAACAAATCAAGAAGCAACTCTTCCATTTTCTCGTACACAGAAACAAAATCCATTGGCAAAATTACTATATTGATGGTTTAAATTAAATACTCCCACCAATAGCTATGTGCAGAAACGAAATTCATTTAATTTTATTTTTTTTTCTATCTAAACTACTATGCCGTTTGAGTAAACATAGTAGTTTTGACATAATGGTAATAAATTGGTTAATATTTATAGTCAACTAGGTACTGAACTCATGGTAAATTCAACGGCATTAAGCGTAGTTATACTGAAAATAAGTGTTTTCTGCAAAATAGTACGCTATGAGACAGGTACAATCGTGTCATCTGCCGCTCAAAGGTAAATGAATTTGATAGCAAAGATTACATCCTCAGAAGAAAGGTTTGTGTATTTGCTCCTTTTTCTATGCGTTGCTTTCACCTTCACTTAAGCGCAGCGCTATTGTATCTGTCGCTTGGATTCTGGCAAAGTTGCCAGTCTTCTTGATACGATGTCTTCGGTTGTGTCCTACACGGCAAGAAAAAGTACTCAAAATTGAGTTCCTGTCACTCATCACGTGGCTTCCGTGGGGCTAGGTAAAATTAAGTTAAAGAAGAAAACTCAATTTTGAGTAATCCTGATCATGAATCCACGTTGACCAAGTTGGCAAAAAAATAATAAGACCGAGTAGACTGAAACCGAACCATGGACGTTGAGATTACGGGGCCCGTTTGTTGACCACTCGTCTATCAACGCTTGTGAAAAAGAAACGGTTAAAGGCGCATAAGAGCAACCTCAATGAAAATAAAGTTATATTTGAGTTCATTTATTATTACTCAATAGTTGAGTAAATTTTCACCAACGCCGCTTTTCTGATTCACTAAACGGCGGACCTCAAATGATAGAACCCAATGTTGAGTTTTTTTTAACTTAATTTTGAGTATTTTTTTTCTTACGGTTGGGACACGCTCTTATTGCATATCCATTAACGCTTCTATACAGCTGTTATCCTGTTGTTCAGTTGTGTGTGTACTTGAAAGGCGCATATTCAATCTTTTCCCGGTTATCAAAATCACTACAGAGCTTTCTCTTGAAACCGGGTTAAATATTGTTTACGCTATTTTTGACGTAGGACTACGTCTTTGATTTCTATATGGGGGTACACTTTGTGAAAACCGAAAATGGAACATGTAACAAATTAAGAAAGATTTTGAACGTTAATAAATCAGCCGCCCCTTTTCCGATTTCAATAATGTTATCACCAATCGATCAGAAATATGGCTACGCATCGATAATAAGTGTTGATTTTCAACAAAAAAACTATTGAAAAACTGGTAAATGTCCAGCATAGTCCAAAAGTGTCGAATTAACTAACAAATCCACCAATTACCTACATGCATATGCTGCTTCCCCAGCACAGTCGTCAGAGAGAAGTAAGTAGACGAAACAAGTCGAAGTGGCATTCGCCTCCGATCCTCGGGCGCGTGCGAATAGGGAGGATGGAATTGCGTAATATTTTGCACACTCATCGCCATATTCAGAACCAAACGCAAATTCTTCGAGATAACCACCATCCGTCGTCTGGCTCGCCGTGGCGGTTTCTGACGTATCTCCGGTTTGATTTACGAGGTGTGCTGAAGGTGTTCCTGAAAAATGAGATCCGTGATGCTGTCACCTACACTAAACACGCCAAGTGTAAGTGGCCATGGATGTCCTCTTCAATAAAACGGCCCTTTTCAGAGCCATCAAGCATACATCAGTAAAGAGTTGGAATAGAATTTATCTGTGCTTGTTTGTCCATATTCAGAACCACAAGCCCCCAACGACCACACAAAATGCTCTCCAGAGTTGTAATCTTGTAACCAAACTTGGAAGCAGGGGTGCAAGTGATTTTGATTGATTCTTTAATCAACTTTCTCTTTGAAAAAAAAAAAACACTACAAATTTGGTACGCCTACAATTCAAAAACGGAAAGAGTTGAGGTAATAGATAATTGATCAAGTAAAAGAACTAAATGCTCTTCACATTTATTCCGTCCACTAGCGGTCCTATGTCAAGCTTTCGTTCGTGCCCCTAGGCACAGACCCGTCTACTTTTTTAATGGAGGAATTTATTGAGTTTATTTGGCTGTGAATCAATCAAATTAATTGAAATTAACTACAAGCACACCACCCAACTAACAATTTTTGCAATGTAAACGCTTTACTCATTTCATTCATACAGCCTCAAAAGCTGTATTCAAACGTTATACGATATGAAGCAACCTTTACTCAACCTCTATATGAGCAAATTTGGCGAACTTAGTCAGCTACTTTTGGCTGTTGGGACGGTTGGAACAAGCTCTTATTGCATTTCCATTCACGCTTCTAAACAGCTGTTTAGTTGTGTGCGAACTTGAAAGGCATTTATTCAGCCTTTACCCAATTATCCAATAATCACTACACAGCTTTCTCTCGACACCAAATTAAATATTGTTTACGTTTTTTTTTACTGCGACTCAAATTACCCAACTAACATTTTCAGCTTTATAAGCCAACTTTTCCAGCGTTGTGCTGTAAAGTAGTTGAAACAAAGCTGCAGATACAGCTACAAGCAGAAGCTAGCAAAATAGTTTTGGAGAGCGTTTACTCAACTTTTTCACAACTATTATTCAATTTGTAAGTTGCACTGAATAACAGCAACCAATAAACGCTAATGTCGCTTCTATGCAACTATTAATCAGCTTTCAACTTTTAGCTGCAAAACAAAGCTAATAAAACAAATAAATTAATTATTTGGTGGCTTCTACTAAACCAACCACTCTTGCTGAATAACATAAACATCAAAAGTGCCTTTTCAACAACTAAACAACCTGTACTCAACTAATAAACTGTGTTAGCGCTACTTTGGAGCTAATTTTAATTCAACTAGGTTTATTTTTAGACTTGTGCAGTTTTACCAACAATCAATACGAAACTATCGATTTTAAATTGGCTCACCACTTTAGTAGCTATTGGGCCCAAGCAAACGATTAACGTACCCTATTCTAGTTGAAATTCTATTACTACACTATGTTTGTTTTGATTCGCTACACAGCAAAAAAAGTTGTTGAATATTACATCGAAACTGCTGCAACCAGGTCAATTCATCGGTTGTGTAATATCACATTGTACAATGTACATCGATTTTGCGAACAGAATTACATCCATTGATGTAATATTGTATCTGCGTTTGCTATAACATCATTATTTCATACATCAGCTTGAATTATGTTGATCGATATTACATTTTTTTTTGCTGTGTATGAAAGTTTGACAGATAACATCAGGGGTGTGTGGATTCATGCAGAACATGCAGGGGTGAGTGAAATAGCTTGGGACTGCTTGGGACCGTTGTTCTGGTACTGAGTGAGCCAAAAATAATAATGATTTTCTTCGGGACCCAGTGGTCTTAGAGTTACCTCTATGGTTTTACTGCTTTTACTCTGCTCCTTTACAAAGAAAAGTGATTCATGTACACTAT